TCCATGGCTTCTTCGAAGCGTCTCGCCTTGTGGATTTGTTCATTTGATGCACCACACTATTGTGATTTCTGTGTGTATTGAAGTAAGGGCGAGGAGGTAGAACAGCTTGTTGACAGAGCCCGGGTGCATGGGGGGAATTTTGTGAAACCCTGGTTTGTGCCTCGGAGAGGCTGCAGGATCCGTGTGAGGGCAGTAGCACTCCCGGTTGCAATTCTTTTAACCATGTCATAGCATAGTCGAATAAGGCGCGTCTGAGATCCTCTCGGATGTAGGTTCGAACCCTCATCACGGCCCTTGTGGCTTTGTTCAAACTCCAGTCATTTGGCCAATAAAAATATCCTGTTCCTTATCCGGATAACTGCCTAATAATGCACTGAACCTTGTTTACACAGGGAAGTGGGTACACTTATAAGGGGCTTGACAGCTGAGTGGATAGCGCTTCGGATTCGTCGTCCTAAGATTCCGGGTTCGATTCCCGATGAAGGCGGAAACAAATGGGCAGAGTTTCCTTCACTCTGGTACCTCTGTTACCTAGCAGTAAATAGGTACGTGGGAGTTAAGACAGCTGCTACGGACTGCTTTCTGGTGTGTGCGTGTGAAAAAAAAATTTGATTGATTGACAGTTGAGAGGCGGGCCGAAAGAGCTAGAGCTCAACCCCCGCAAGCCACAACTAGGTGAACACACTCCCCCACAGTCAAGCCCCCAAGCCGGCAGTGTAGAACTACGGGCTCACCATAGCCCGTGCTACCTGGAACTTTTTGTTCCAGGTAGCGAATCTTAAACAATAACAACGGGAGGTTGGCCGGGGTCACTCCGGCTGAGGGATGACCGGCCTGCGTCACTCACTGCCAAGGTAACCTCATTATCAGCCAGTATGACTATATGGCACGTGAGAGGGATATGACGATGAGGGAAGCAACGATGCCCAAGCACTTGAGCCTCCGGGGATCGAACGCAGACCTGCAAGAAGCGAGGTGGCTGTTGTGCCGACCAATCCAAGTGGTTGGAATAGAAGCCTCTTAATTCAGCCCGTTCTCTTGCCACACCGTAAATAATCCATCCTTGTGTTCCAGGGATGTGTTCCATGAATGTGTTCCAGGGATGTATTCCAGGAATGTGTTCCAGGGATGTGTTCCAGGAATGTGTTCCAGGGATGTGTTCCAGGGATGTGTTCCAGGAATGTGTTCCAGGGATGTGTTCCAGGAATGTGTTCCAGGGATGTGTTCCAGGGATGTGTTCCAGGAATGTGTTCCAGGGATGTGTTCCAGGGATGTGTTCCAGGGATGTGTTCCAGGGATGTGTTCCAGGAATGTGTTCCAGGGATGTGTTCCAGGAATGTGTTCCAGGGATGTGTTCCAGGGATGTGTTCCAGGAATGTGTTCCAGGGATGTGTTCCAGGGATGTGTTCCAGAAATGTGTTCCAGGGATGTGTTCCAGGAATGTGTTCCAGGGATGTGTTCCAGGAATGTGTTCCAGGGATGTGTTCCAGGGATGTGTTCCAGGAATGTGCTCCAGGAATGTGTTCCAGGAAAGAAATGAGATGAGGGGGGGGACCCGGGTACAGGTACCCGTCCATGTAACTATATTGAAAGATATAATGCCAATTTGTCTGTTTGTCTATCCAAGGGTGGAGGCCAGGCGCTCGGGGCTAGCCTCACCTAGCCTTGCAGAGGGAATGGTTTGGAGTACAGGACGGTCATAGGATGGGCGGGATCGGCCTAAGCCAAGTACTTTAAGAAATATCAGCCTGTATCACCCTCCCTCTGTGTGATGTTTATGATGTCTAAAATTATGTTTTCCGTCGAGATTGAAGACTTTGAAAAAATTTAGATTGAATAGTCCCTTGAAGAGGACTACTCATTATAAAAATATTGAATAGTCCCTTGAAGAGGACTACTCATTATAAAAATATTGAATAGTCCCTTGAAGATTTTCCAAACTTATAGGTTCGAAACGTTGTGTACAATTATAATAAATACAATTTAGTCAAGAACACTGGTTAGAGTCATAGAGGCGCAACTCAAGAAAATAATCATCACGGAATATGCAATCATGTTCAGTGAAACACACACACACACACACATTATATACATACATAAATACATATATTCACACACACATATACTATGGAATCTAAAATTTTCGAAAACGATTTCGATAAGGAATTATGCTTGTGGAAGAGGTGAAGGTCTTAATCACGTTGTGTGTATATACGAGTGCTCCCTGAAGGCCACAGGAGTGACGTCATCACATAAACAATTTATCTCCCTTTCAGGGGAAACTCGCGCAAAAAAGAAAGAAACAAAGATGGCGGGGGACAAGTGAGCGTAGCGGTCCAGACCATAAACTAAGACTCCACGGCCGGCCGTCTGTCATGTTCCTCCACATTTATATATATACACACTCATTTTCAGGAGCGATTAAAGTGAATTACCCGCGTGGGGACACGTCGCCACGGAAAGGAATTCGCGCCATTTATTTCCAAGCGTTGAGTTTGGCGCCAAGAGACAGCAGTGTTGTGACAGCAGTCGGGAGCTGTACACCCTGCGCTCTCACCCCTCAAGAGGGGGGTGTATTTAGACGGTACTTTGTTTCTATTGTATCTGTGACCAAAATATGTATTGTGGTACATAGGTTTCTTCGACTATATACATTTTTATGGCCGTGCGTTGTAGGATTGAGGGTTATGGGACTGTCCGAGCGTTGTGGTACTCTGTCCGAGCATTATAGGACTCCGTCATACCTACTAAAACGGCACAAAACACTAACACGAACACAGTGCATTCAGGGATTAATGTAGACGCATACACACAGGCATAAAACCTGTCCCTCCTAAAGAAAGACTTGAAGGTCGAACTAGGAAAGAGAATCACTCATCCTCATAGAACATATAGACACGAATACAGCCACAGTTTCGTGTCACCCCTGTGACACGAACTAAGTACGAAAATTGCGTACGAAAGTACGAAAATTTGTACCAGTGGAAGACACAGGAAAACTGCTAATCAGATATGAAGATCTCTCAAAGGACAACATTCAACAGCGACAAATGCCAAATACTTTGCGAAAGGAGAAACGGAAAATCTTAAAACCAGAACAGGACAGAGTGAGCTCTCCTAAAAATGTCTGGACCGGATCAAAGATCTTGGAGTAAGAGTATCACAAGCCCTAACTCTCAGAGAACACAACAAAGCAAGAACAGCTAGAGCCAGGAAAATGAGAGGGCATTCCGTGGCAAAGCTGGCGGGGCGGCAAAGCAAGAATGTACACACAGATCCCTTACTGTGTACATAGAATCAGTAAAAACACTCACCAAGCCCACAAGAAAGTAGTCAAACTGTACTCCTTGGCAGGGAGGCGAGAGAGAGAGAAATACCTCACAATATACACATGAAAAACAGTGGAAGGTCAAGGTCCCAAACTTACACACTTAAGGTAAACATAACACAATTAGAGAGCACAGTGTAAACATTAGGAACCCCACGGTTCTTCAGTCTCTAGTCAGCCTCTACACCCACACCCGCGTCCATGCCCATGCCTCTATTCATGCCCACGCCTACACCCATACCCACACGAAGATATTTTTTAACCCACCTGCCCATCAATCAAACAAATTTAAGCTTTTGGATCATTAAGCTAACATTACTGGAGCGCCATGTTTACTGTCGCTACTTGATGGGTAGATGGTAGATACGCTGGTATTTAAGAGCTCCTCGAACCTTCAAAACCAAGGCCCTAATACGTCTATTTCTAGAATTTCTAACTTAAGCCGCTGACAAGGCTGCTACATTAGCGTGATAAATGGCGATGCAAAGGAGACTATATTAGCGCAGTCTGATGCTTTAACTGGGGTACGTTGATCTGTTGAACCAACACTCATAATGGGACCATGAACTATGGTCCAGGACAGACAGCTTAACATGTCAGGCACCATAAAAGACAACATAACATGGGAGGGACAAGAACAGCTTAATATGAAAGAGATCGAGGACATATACAGCATAACATGGGAGGCACCAACACTGACAGCTTAATGTGGGAGGAACCAGGACAACAGATGGACAGAGAGAGAGACAGAGACAGACTGAGTTTCCCACATGTCATCCCGGGGTCGAAACAGCGTCCAGAATGACTCATGTGATGGTGTCGTGCCAGACAGAGGTGGCACCCCCGGGCCGGTAGTGCCAGAGGTACTGTGGCCGCACGGTACACAGTGGAGGTGTCAAGTGGTGTCACGCGGGCCTGCCCCCCCCCCCCCTGCTAAAGATAAACACGGCAGCCATGACATTGCCATAACCTCGTTACCTCTATCACCGCGTCTCTCTCTCTCTCTCTCTCTCTCTCTCTCTCTCTCTCTCTCTCTCTCTCTCTCTCTCTCTCTCTCTCTCTCTCTCTCTCTCTCTCTCTTCTTGGTCTTAGATAGCTATTCCTCTTGACGTTCTCATTACATCACTGTTTCTTTATTGTATGAATTCGGTTAAAGTTTTTCATAGTAATCATTTATGTCAAAATAATATATAAACACATGATGCAGACCTTCAGTTACTCGCACACACACACACACACGCGCACACACACACACACACACACACACACACACACACACACACACACACACACACACACACACACACACACACACACACACACACACACACACTAGGGGTCTGCGGCTGAGTGGACAGCGCTCGGGATTCGTAGTCCTAGGGTCCAGGGATCTATCCCGGCGATGGCGGAAACGAATGGGCATAGTTTATTTCACGCTGATGCGCCTGATCACCTAGCAGTAAACAGGTACCAGGACGTTAGACAGCTGCTACGGGCTGCTTCCTGTGTGTGTGTGGGGGGGAGGGGAATGACATCTGATTTGTGTTTTGTGATGCTGAAAACCTGTAGTGTATTTATGTTCACTTGCACTCTTGAGAAGTACAAATAGGGTGATAAACAATAGATACAAGAGCACATATAACAAGAACAAGGTGAAGAACAAAGAACATACCTGCCTGGTGGTCGTATTCCCCAATATATCTCTTAGTGAGAAATCTGACGATCAGAGCTGGAAAGAAAAAAAATATATAGATATTATTAGAGTTGATTAATAACATGTGTGTGTAGGATCAATACATATGTAGCAAGAACACATATATAGCAACAATACCTATGTAGCAAGCATACCTATCTAGCAAGAATACATGTGTAGTAAAAATACATGTGTAGGATACGTCTTAACAAGGCTTCATAATATTTCTATTGTGGTTGTGGGGCTGATATTATTGCACTAAGTCGTACACAAACAATTTTGAAAAACACTGTGAGCTTGAGCTGATCGTGAGGGAATATTTGAGCTCATCGTGAGAGAATATTTGAGCTCATTGTATGATGTTTGATCACATCGTACGAGTATTTGACCATATCGTATGAATACCTGAAAATATCATATGAGACTTGAGCACATACTATGAGAGTACTTCTGGACATCGTGTGAGAGCACTTGAGCACATCGTGTGAGAGCACTTGAGCACATCGTGTGAGAGCACTTGAGCACATCGTGTGAGAGCACTTGAGCACATGGCGTGAGAGCACTTGAGCACATCGTGTGAGAGCACTTGAGCACATCGTGTGAGAGCACTTGAGCACAGCGTGTAAGAGCACTTGAGCTTATAGCTCCACACCGGTGTTGAATGATAAACACAACGCTTAGGAAGCCACTTCCATGTGCCCGTTTTCTTTGTTTCGCCATCCTAATATAAACAACCTATCATCTCGGTGGAGAGGATTCCCCTCCAGGGAATGAATTGAGAATGACAACATAATTTGTGCTATTATCTTCTCTCTCTCTCTCTCTCTCTCTCTCTCTCTCTCTCTCTCTCTCTCTCTCTCTCTCTCTCTCTCTCTCTCTCTCTCTCTCTCTCTCTCTCTCTCTCTCTCTCTCTCTCCATGGTCAGGTTATGTTAAGGTTATGTTAAGGTTTAGTTTAGTTTGCAGCCTTAGGGGATATTTGGTTAATAATTTTGTGTGTAATGCTTTGACATTTCTTGAACATTTGTTACGGTTATCTTGAAATTCGTGATTTTGTTCGCATTTCATCACAGTGACGTAGGGTGTGCGATTAATTTGTTGACACAGTTTACATTTAGTCAGATCTACATCAGCAGGTAATACAAATTCCCAGTGATACTTTTAACCAACTGTAAGCCAAGCAGTAGTGAGGAGTCTGCTCATTTTACTGGATGATCCATAGATCATTTTACTGGATGATCCATAGATCACCATAGATGAGATAATCCTTTCCCTTAAAACCAAGTCTGGTGCCCTTGAGGAGATACCAACTTTAATTTACAAAAAAGCCTCCAGATCTTTAGCCCCTGCTATTGCTTTGCTCTTCAACAAGTCACTTGAACTCCAAACCTTTCCAGATATTCTAAAAAAAGCGAGAGTAACGCCTGTCCACAAATGTGGTGACCCCACAGATGTTAACAACTACAGACCTATATCAATCCTGCCAAACTTGTCAAATTTTTTTGAAAAACTTATATACAAGCAGCTTTACTCATATCTAGCCAAACTCAATATACTTAGCCCTTGCCAATATGGCTTCAGACCCAAACAAAGCACTAACGATGCACTTATTAGTATGCTTAACTCGATTCATACAGCTCTTGATAAAAAGGAGTTCCCTGTTGGGTTATTTGTGGACCTGCGTAAAGCTTTTGATACTGTCAACCACCATAACCTTCTTCTTAAATTACATCATTATGGAGTCAGAGGACACTCCCTTCAATACCTCGAGTCCTACCTTACTGACAGGCTCCAATATGTTTCTGTGAATAATACAATTTCTCCCACCCTACCCATCAACATTGGTGTTCCTCAGGGCAGCATACTTGGCCCTCTCCTCTTTCTCATCTACATTAATGACCTTCCAAATGCCTCCCAACACCTCAAACCAATTCTATTTGCTGACGACACAACCTTCATTTACTCCAGTCCTGACCCTCTTGCTCTAAATGCCACAGTAAATACTGAGCTAAATAAAGTCCATCTTTGGCTAACTGCCAACAAACTCACCCTTAACATTGACAAAACCTTCTATATTCTGTTTGGCAATAAATCCTCTAGTCTTATAAATCTCAAAATAAACAATACCCAAATTTGTAACAAATTAGATGGCAAATTCCTTGGCATTCTCATTGACCACAAGCTGAATTTCCAGGGACACATTCTAAATATATCAAAAAAGTTTCAAAAACTGTGGGCATTCTTTCTAAGATCAGATATTATGTACCACGCCCTGCCCTGGTGACTCTCTATTACTCCCTTATCTATCCTTATCTCAACTATGGTATTTGTGCTTGGGGTTCTACTACCCAAAATCACTTACGTCCTCTAATTACCCAACACAAAGCCGCTATTAGAACAATATCCAACTCTGGCCCCAGACATCACTCGGCACCCCTACTCAAATCTCTTAATATGTTAGATATTAAGTCACTGCACATTCTCTCATGTGTATTATACATATATAAAACGCTAAACTATAATGCCAATCCTGATCTTAAAAGCTTCATAGAAGGGTGTAACAGAACCCATGAGCACCACACCAGAAATAAATACAGTTTTGATATTCCTAGAGTACGTCTTAATCAAACTAGAAATGCTCTACAAATCAAGGGACCCAGAATGTGGAATGACCTTCCCAACCATGTTAAAGACTGTACCTCTCTCAACCAGTTTAAGATAAAAACTAAACACTACCTAATAAATTCCCTGTAATCTACCTCACTCCTCTATTGTCAACCCATGTCTGTTATTTTTTTTTTTTTTTTTTTTTTTTTTTTTTTTTTTTTTTTTTTTTTTTTTTTTTTTTTTTTTTTTTTTTTAATCAACACTGTTTGTCAATCTATTGTATTTGTGCTGCTTTTTCAGTCATGTTCCCCCTTTTTTTTTATCTTTATTTGTATTTGTTCTCAACATCTTTTATTCTTTATGCTCAATTAGTATTAAGTTCTAGATATTAATGTTTTTCTTGCCCGAAACGCATTGCGTAATAGTGGCTTTAGGCATTGTATGTACTAGCTCTATCTATATATCAATCCATTAATGTAACATCACTTGTATGTATATACCTTACCTGAATAAACATCTGAATCTGAATCTGAATCAGATATGTGGCTCATCTTGCATGGTAGCATGATAACAAATATAATAGCTAGTGAAGATTTAACTTTGTCTAAAATATTAAGTTTGTTGAAGTTCTTGTTGTATTATTGTCCTCAGGCTAACATAGGCAATCTAAGGTTATAGTAAACTCTTTTGAAGGCAGATTCTTTGGTAACTCATCAGTTCTATCTTGCATTCAGAGGCGAGTATGAGGTAGAATCCACATGAAATGGGTTTTTATCATCAATAATAACATTGTTGTATCTGTGTCTGGCTTCAGACAGTATGTTACAATTGTCCTAATAAGTTGAGAGCAATTAAGGATGATACGGAATCATATAGGGTTAACGTGTCAACTACAAAAACATGATCACACTGAGTGTAAAGGAATCTGGCAGAGTTTGGTCCGGAGGGTCGAGAGGCAGTTGTTTATACGGACTCAACAATTGTTTGCTTCCTTGTCGACTCACAATTGGGGATCTCGGGTTCGATTACTGTGCGAGACTGAAATGATTGGGTTCCATTTTCTTACATCTAATGCCTCTGTTCACCTAGCAGTAAACATGTACCCGGATGTTAGGTAAGTGTTTTGGGGTTGTATCATGGGTCGGGTCGACAGTTCGACCTGAGGGGAGGGGGGGGAGTTGACCTCGATACAAGCCTAAAGTATATGTACATATATACACAGGATTCCTGTCCCCTTACAAAACGAATTAATGCTATTAATTATTTTCGGCCGGATATTGTAATTTTTCAACCCATTGACAGAGTTTTACAAATAATTCCCGAGCATATTAGTCAGTTACAGAGTCATCCATAACATTTATAGCGTGTTAGGTGCGATTATTTCCCGTTAATTATGAACAAGTCTGTATGGTTTGAGGTGATGCATCATTCCCGTGATGCTTCACTTATTATGGCTAGGCTCTCATATAATATATTCCCTCATATATGAGGAGATTTAAAGTAATCTTTGTTCATGGAACAAATTACCGGGTAACAAGAGACGTGGGGTCGCTGGATTGTTTCAAGCGTAGATTAGACATATATGATAATATGAATGAGTTTGACTCGATATAAAGAGAAGCTGTCTCGTATGGGCCAATAGTAAGTACTTCTGTAACACGCGTGGAGCTGAGAGTGTAATTTAGAGGAGACACTAGGATACAGCGGGTTCAACTTATTACCATGGATAAATTACCTGAAATCCTTGCACTGTATCCATATTTCGCTTCCAGTAGATAAACGACATATGAGATTAAGAAACAAGTAGTGTATTGTGAAGACTAATAATAAACAGAAGCTCCCCTATGACTCTGTAATATCTCCATTGGTCAAACTATTATGTATTAGCGATAAGACCTACCATTAATGTATAATAACTTACTCTAAATATATAACTCTTGAAATAGCACTTTCTCTGTAACTAGCTGACATTGTAACTATAAGGTGTGAAGGATAGATGAAATTGTTTATGTGATAATCTAAGATGAGGTCTGATAAAGACCTTTTGTGCCCTCTGTAGTGCTTTTTGCGCTACCGCTCACAGGATGATTGTTGTTGTTGTTAAAGATTTAGCTACTCAGGACGAAGTGTCCATGTAGCACGGGCTATGGTGAGCCCGTACACAGGATGAGTATGGGGTGCACAATAAACTAGCCGCCCGGCGGCAGCAATCAAAAACTCAAACTCACCACTCTTGCCGACCCCCGGGGCGCCCAGCACAGCGATCTTCACCTCTGATAAAGATGACTTCTTCCTCCTGATGCCTCGTATGGCGTTGGTGGTCATGTCTGCCGCAGGGAGCAGGGAACACTGATGTTAGTGCTGACACATCATGGATCTGTGGGGCGAATATCTCACTAATATTAATATATTAATCATAAACCCAGTAATAACGATAATAATGATAAAATATTCACAAATTTCATTTATATATCAGTAATAAAGAGTGGAAACCCTTGGTATCACAATATTTTCTAAGTGAGGCAAGTATATAAAAAATAAATTAAAGGTTGGACAATTAAAAAATTGTCCCATCTATGCCTGACTCAAAAGTAAAACTAAAAAGTACCTAATTTCAACCTCATAGTTCAGCCCGTCCTCCTAAGATTTCCCAACGTCAAGAAACTGTCGTACTAAAGTCCTCTTATCCTAACCTACCAGAGGACACAAAACAGAAAACGGGAGAGTGTATTAATTTCGCCAGCCGCTTCCATTTTCTAGCACGACAATTTTTGGCCTTAGGTAAAGTATACTTACTTTACTTTACATACGTTACGTATACATAAAGTATACATTACGTTACTTTACGTTGCATATACATTAAAGTATATGCGACGTTCTATTAGGAGGACGAATTACATAGTTTCCTACCTTGTGCTTCAAACTCACTCTGTATCTTGTGCTGCCCACTTCCCCAATATAACTTAGGACATGCAACTTCACCAGTGTAATAGTCTCCATAAATTTATATGTAGTTATTATGTTACAGTTAAAATTGATACAGTACAATGTACATCTTAATAAACTTATCTGTTAGATTAAGGACCTGCCTGAAACACTATGAGTGTTACTGGCTTTTCTAGAATGTAAGAACCCCAATGTTATGTACTCTCATTACCAGGGGTCATCATCGTTTACTTCCCTACCTTCACCATACTGGAATTCAGCATCACAGATTATATAAGCACATCCCATGTTCCATTGAAGGGATGTGAGTATAAGGATTTGTGATAAGAGAGAGGAAAGAAGCGGTGCCCAACAACTTGGACCATCAGGAGTCGAACGCCGATCCTGCAAGAAGCGAGCCGTCGCTGTACCGACCTATCCAAGTGGTTAGGCATATAGGGGGAAGACATCACAGTTCACGCCAAAGATGGCAGTCAGACACCAGTCTTTACCGTTCACACCTGACTCTTAACGTATCCGTGTTTATGTCTTCATTTTGCGTCAAGGCTTATATTTCTCTCTGATTTTATGCCATATATATTTTTTGTAGATAAATAAGCATGTCGTTTGTCAAATGTAAAATGACCTTGAGACAACTCGTTAAACCCCGGTGAGGGTTCAGAAGAGGTTTGAGCGATAAAAACTGTGCGTGTATGAGATGTGTCGGACTAAAGTCTTAAATGGTTTTACCCTCTCAGCAAAACCATTAAACCTGAAACTATATATGTTTATCAAGAGTAAAAACGGCTTCCTATCCACGAAGCCCCGACCACCGCCACCCACAGCATCATCAGTCAGCCACTCACTTTACCAGTCGAGGCTTTACAACCAACCCGTTCAAGAACAACCAATCAACTAGGCTATCCTCAACCACCGACCCCAAAGACGTAGTCATCCCTTTTGGCGTAGTGTGCATTTAAATGCATTGTTATATTATAATTTGGTGTACAGTTAAACCTAAATTAGGTTAGGTTAGATGTATAGATTCTGTTGGCAATTATTTGTATTTGCAGTAAGTGGGTGAACCATTTACAGAATCGCGTTTCGAACAGAGGTAGTCAGCGAAGCACTGTTCGAGAAATGTTCGGAGATCATCAGTTGTGAGTTTTGCGTTAAGTGGCTTTTCATTAATAAACAGAGGATTTAGCGGCTGGAATAGCTAGCATTTGCCATTTGTTTATGAAGACAGGCTGCATAAACAGGGGGTTCAATTCAATTTCTTTCTTTATTATGCACCCCATACCCATCCCGTGGGCGGTGGTGTAAAGGATTACAGAGGCACATAATCGGTTCAGGAACTGAACCCTCTAGTTCGTTTAGCTAAGCAAATAACAATCTTTTGACGCTAGTTACAAAATTATTAATGTTATATATACATGTACACATACTCATGCATACATGTACATATACATACGTATACATATATACATACACATACATATTTAATCACCCACACAAATACACACATCAATAATCTTTTGTGTCACAAGTGATTCAACAAGAGGCTTACAACAGTCACTATACAAGGCACTTTACATCTATGAGGAGTCACACAGTTACTAGTCGTGCTCCACACCCACCCAACTGGGCGGCAGCTTTACAGTCATGTGCTCCACACCCACCCAACTGGGCGGCAGCTTTACAGTCATGTGCTCCACACCCACCCAACTGGGCGGCAGCTTTACAGTCATGTGCTCCACACCCACCCAACTGGGCGGCAGCTTTACAGTCATGTGCTCCACACCCACCCAACTGGGCGGCATCTTTACAGTCATGTGCTCCACACCCACCCAACTGGGCGGCAGCTTTACAGTCATGTGCATGCATTACCTACAGTAAGCAAATTTTGGATACTTCGCTAAGATTTCGGGCAGCACGTCATTATGAATGAAGTACTTACACATTTCTTGGACACTATTGATGGTGTTATCTCTAAATTCAGCGATTTTTTCACATTCCATTATATAATGACGCAAAGTATGCGAAGAGTTCTGCTGACAGTTTACATTTAGTCAAATCTACATAAGCAGATGTTACAAATTCCCAGAGGTACTTGTAGCCGAGCCTAAGCCTAGCAGTGGTAACATCTAGACGTCTGCTAACATTATTGGATGACCCATAGACGTGCGGTTCTTCCTGCATAATAGAATGATGATAGATGGAGTAACTGGTGTGAATTTTACTTTGCCTCAAGTCTCCGAAATTTAGTTGATGTTCCCGGAATATTACTGCCCTCAGGCTGCTCAAAGGCAGTCCAAGTTGGTAATCAATTCCCTCTTTACGAGCAAAAGTCTTGGCTAGCTCATCAGTTCTATCATGCATTCGGAGACCAATATGGGAAGGAATCCACAGGAGACAAACTCTGACTCCATCATTGAATATTTCATTATATCTGTGTCTAGCTTCAGAGATAAGCACGTCACAGTTATGCCTTGGGGAGCTGAGGGCAGTCAAGGATGACAAGGAGTCACTTACAATTAGCGTGTCAACTTTGGATTCATATACGCGCTCGAGTGCAAGGATTATGGCAACCAATTCTGTTTGAAGAGTGGAGGCCCAGTTACTTAGACGCGCTCCACACTCATGGGAGATGGAACCATCTCTCCCTGTCACAACAACTGCACTTCCAGCAGTTGTTGTTGTGATAATGTGAACAAATGTTGTGATAAAATGACTGATAATGTGGCGTAGGTCACTTTTGCCCGCACTACTTACATTGTTGTATTTCAGTCAGAAATACAACAATGTAGAAACACAACAGATATAAATTGTTGTTTTTATATCAGAACATAAGAACTAAGGGAACCGCAGAAGGGCTGTTGTCCCGCACGTGGCAGCTTCTATTTATATCCACACATCTCTCTCTAATAAAAAAGTTAAATATCAAATTATCCACTAATATCTACTTTACTTGTTTAACGTTAATGTCCGGCAACGATATTGTCCCAAATGTGGGGAAAATAAAATGGCGTCAGGCTGTCACAATGAACTTGAAGTGTCTTTGTGAGCGCATCTTACCTCACCCCTCAGTACCTCACCCCTCACTACCAGAGACTATTTTAGACGTGGGTCTCCACTCTCGAGGCGGCCTCCGGCCCATCACCGTAGCGTGGCGGACTTTCCTCATCAACCGGTGTTTTATATACAATATATTTCAGTGAGCGTGAGAGTCTGGCGAAGCTTAAATGTGTGTATCTTGGGCTGAAGGAACCTCAAGTGAAGGAGGGTTATTAAGGTGGAGCCGCTAACTTACTGGCCCCACCACCAACTGTAGTCTATTGTAGAACTGAAGTAAACTTTGTGTTGACCAAACCACACACTAGAAAGTGAAGAGACGACGACGTTTCGGTCCGTCCATTATAAAGTCGATTGTCTCTGTTCACCAAGAAGTGAGAGACACTTCTCGGTGCATATATTCTTTGCTTAGAGATTGTATGTCAGTTCTGGGAAACTACCAGAGTGTGTGTGGGGAAGCAGGAAGGTTGACTAAGGGACGCCCTGCCCTCCCAGTCCGTCCTCTTTAAGTTTCCCAACGTCAAGAAACTGTCGTACAACAGTACCCTCTCCTAACCTAACAATTTCGCGAGCAGCTGCCATTTTCTAACAGGACAATTTTTGAACTTGGGTACTGTATACGTCAAAATTTTGCGCTCTATTAGAAGGACGGGTTGGCCCACCACACAAGCCTAATACCAGTTACTGAGGCAGCGGGCAAAACATGCCCGAATAGCTTTAAATCGACATTGGATCAACGTTGATTTATTCTAATTTGTTAACATTGATTCATTGTAATTTGTTAACGTTGATTCATTGTAATTTGTTGACATCCGTTGAGGCAATGATGTGTGTACAATCGTAATTTAGCGACACGCATCATGCTCAGTACAGGGCACAGGAGAGCCACATGCAGTCCTGTATATTGTCTTCTCCCACTCCCTCTTTCTGTTAGGCTTTATTATACAAAAATGGAATACAGTACAGAATAATATTACAGCCTGTATGGTTCTTGGAGATCCTCAGATGTCGGACCAGAACCAAAAATGCAGCGCTCTCGCTCTCTAGATAGCTAGACAGATTTAGATAGAGATAGATCCAGGAATAAATACCAAGTACAATGCCTGGTACCTCTCAAGTTTATATATTTTACATGGGAAGGTAAATTCCTTTAAGACAGGAAGGGATAAGATCTCTGTCAAGGGGACAGAGAGATAGACAGGCGGGATAGACTAATGGATGGTGGGATTGTCTAATGGATAGATACTTTAATAGATTGATGGATAAATAGTGAGACAGATTGACGAATAGATAGTGAGACAGATTGATGGATAGCTAGTTGGATAGATTTGTGAATATATAGTGGGATAACCTGATGGATAGACCAATGTTTAGTTAATTGGATAAACCGATAGATAAACAGTGGGATAGGCTGCTGACTAGATTTTGGGATAGTTGGTTGTCCCCCTGGTAGGTGTGCTCTGTGCATGGGTTTCACAGTACTTTGCACGTTGAGGATGTTGTCTCGCGTCAGGGTTGAGGCAGATGGCTGCAAGCAATGTATAAGGTAAATACAACGATGTTTTCTTTCATCTTGTTGTGGACCCAACCCTGGAGCCGTCTTGGGGACCCCCTGGGACCGTCTCAAAGACCCCTGGGGTCCTCTCAAAGACCCCTGGGGTCCTCTCAAAGACCCCTGGGGTCCTCTCAAAGACCCCTGGGGTCCTCTCAAAGACCCCTGGGGTCTGGAGGGAAGGAAGGACGCGGAGACCCGCAGACTTACTTGCTAATTCGCGATGGTGCGAGAAGAGTTGGATTGTGTGTTCAACTTGTCCTCAGGTGCTCATGTTGTCTCAAGTCACTTAGTATCGTTTATCATAGGACCAGTGGCACTCGGGACAGTCTATAGTTAACACACAACGAGTTGTGGGGTAGTCTGAGGCGGTTAACTATCGTTTATCATAGGACCTGTAGCTCGTGCTGTCTATCGGTAGTTATCATAACAGAGCACCGAGTTGTATGGTAGTTTGAGCCGCGATAGACTACACCAGCAAATACGAGATTGTGATTCATTTGAGATGTTTGGTGTCAAGTTGGGTGTAGTTGGTGTGTGTGTGTGTGTGTGTGTGTGTGTGTGTGTGTGTGTGTGTGTGTGTGTGTGTGTGTGTGTGTGTGTGTGTGTGTGTGTGTGTGTGTGGGAGAGAAGGATTTAACATGCCATGGTGACCCGAGTGCCGTGTTATTGAAGAAAGTGTTAGTGCTGTGTGCCCTCAAGAGTCACTAATTTGGGGCACCAGCTTCATGTCTCATTATGTGTCCCCTCACTGTGGCACTGCTTCACTGTGGCACTGCTTCACTGTGGCACTGCTTCACTGTGGCACCGCTTCACTGTGGCACCGCTTCAGTGTGGCACCGCTTCATCACTGGCCTGGGTGCCCACGAGGATGGCCCTCACCTCACTGTGGCTCTGCCCAAACTGACGGGCCGCTCCGGGCACACGCTGCCCGTGTGTGTGTGTGTGTGTGTGTGTGTGTGTGTGTGTGTGTGTGTGTGTGTGTGTGTGTGTGTGTGTGTGTGTGTGTGTGTGTGTGTGTGTGTGTGTGTGTGTGTGTGTGTGTGTGTGTGTGTGTGTGTGTGTGTGTGTGTGTGTGTGTGTGTGTGTGTGTGTGTGTGTGTGTGTGTGTGTGTGTGTGTGTGTGTGCGCGTGTGTGTGTGTATGTGTGTGTATGTGTGTGTGTATTTACTATTTGTATCTGCAGAATCGAGCTATTAGCTCTTGGACCCCGCCTTTCTAACCAATATATATTTACTCTATTATGTCTACTACATATATTTCTCTTACACACGCGCACACACACACATCCACAGGTATGTGTGTGTGTGTGTGTGTACTCACCTAGTTCACCTAGTTGTGCTTGCGGGAGTTGAGATTTGGCTCTTTGATCCCGCCTCTCACCCGTCAATCAACTGGTGTACAGGTTCCTGAGCCTACTGGGCTCTATCATATCTACATTTGAAACTGTGTATGGAGTCAGCCTCCACCACATCACTGCCTAATGCATTCCATCTGTTAACTACTCTGACAATGATTTTTTTCTAATGTCTCTGTGGCTCATCTGGGTTCTAGGTTTCCACCTGTGTCCCCTTGTTCGCGTACCACCAATGATGAAGCGTTTTTCTTTGTCCACCCTGTCAATTCTCCTGAAAATTTTGTAGGTAGTTATCATGTCACCCCTTACTCTTCAGTTTTCCAAGGACATGAGGTTCAGCTCCCTTATCCTTTCCTCGTATCTCATACCTCTCAGTTCTGGGACTAGTCTGATGGCATATTTCTGAATCTTCTCAAACTTTGTTTTGTGTTTAACTTGGTATGGACTCCAGGCTGGAGCTGCATACTCCAGTGTGTGTGTGTGTGTTTACTAGGTGTGTTTTTGCGGGGGTTGAGCTTTGCTCTTTCGGCCCGCCTCTCAACTGTCAATCAACTGTTTACTAACTACTATTTTTTTTCCCACACCACACACACACACACACACCCCAGGAAGCAGCCCGTGACAGCTGACTAACTCCCAGGTACCTATTTACTGCTAGGTAACAGGGGCACTTAGGGTGAAAGAAACTTTGCCCATTTGTTTCTGCCTCGTGCGGGAATCGAACCCGCGCCACAGAATTACACACACACACACACTGTGTGTGTGTGTGTGTGTGTGTGTGTGTGTGTGTGTGTGTGTGTGTGTGTGTGTGTGTGTGTGTGTGTGTGTGTGTGTGTGTGTTTGTGTGTGTGTGTGTGTGTGTGTGTTTGGTGCCTCCTGGCTGGCATCACCGTGCCAATCCCCCTATCTCCCATACGTCACCACTTCACCATCACCATCACTATACCTACGACAGCCACCATCATCATTCTTCACCACCACCACACCAACATCCCGACAACCAAGCACCACCATCATCATCATATCACCAACACCATTATCACACCACCTTTATCGCCACCATTTTCGTTCCATGTACGAATGTCCTGAAAGAAGAAGTCGTGGGAGCTACCTCCACGCAGAACGACCTCCGGCAAGGTACGACCAATAAATAGAGCACCGGGAAGGGTCCAGTAGAACAGAACAGTGTACGACCATCAACACAAGGCCACCAAACACCAGTTTAGTGCAGCGGGTTAAGGTCGAATATTTGCCACAATTTTTTGCTTGCATTCGAGTGCCAAACTTGAAGGTGTACTGATATGTATGTCCTTACCTGGCCATAGTGCCACCTTACAGCAGCCAGAGTGCCACTGCCACACACCTCCCCCTCCCATGGGAGCAATTACACCAGGTGTTGAGGTAAACATGAAACAAATAACTAATAAACTAATTGTTTGTGAGGGTCAGCATGTCCCCAACGGTACTCGGGGTTGATGCTGTTGTTATGATTTCACCAAGCCTTCCTTTCCTCCCTTAATCCTTGAGAAACATTACCTGATGTTCAGTTTTATTATTATTGTTCTTCACTGGTGTGTGAGAAGTTATGTTGTTCACTGTGTTCTTCACTGGTGTATTATGACAGGCAGTGACCAAGTGTCGTGGCTGGCTGGTGCGCAATTATGATGTCTTAAACCTCGACATCATTGATATAACTCTCCCGTGAGGGTTTGAGGGAGCTTATATATATACATTTGTTCCAGGTCCTGAAACAATATTTGTCCTCTTCACATAAACTGTATTTATTGTGAGACTGGCGAGTGCCGTAGGCAACAGCTGGTGACGGTGCCTCCCTCACCAAGATAAACACTGGCTTGGTGAATCAGCCTCATGACAGCTGATGGGTAGAAGAACTCACTGTTTACCAACCACGGTGAAGTTTTGCGCCATGTTCGGCATGCAGCCGCTCATGATGCCAGTATATACAAAGTAATGGAGAAATGGGGCGCAGCAAATAATTAAATTAGAAAAAAGCTGCCAAGATATCGTTAAGAAATTATACTGAAGTATATAATTAATGTTGAGTGATAGCCACGTCTTGAGCGAATGAAGAGGGAGCCAATAGGTTCTTATAAAGATTCAGTGGTTTGTGGACATGTATTCTGGTATTTACATTCTTAGGTACATTTGAATTTATACAGCTGACTTTCATTTAAATTTTGAAAGGAAGAGAAAGTCAATTTAAATCTAGGGATATGGACAACCAGGTTTAGTTAGTTACACACTAACGGACTTCCTTTGGGTGGTAAGCCAGGTAGTGCACCACAAGGGTGTGAACAGCTATGCTGAACATTTGGGTAATTTGTGTATAAGTTAACCTATAAGGTCTTTGGAAAGGTAAGTATTGACGGCATTATAGGAGGACAACATAAGAACAAAGGAAACTCAAGGACTGTCGCCCCATACGTGGCAATCGAACCTACGCTTGAAACATTCCATGTATCCCACTTCTGTTATGTTACCCGGTAATGTGTTCCACAAATGTATAAGCAACACAGTGCTACAGGATGACCTCTCCCGCAACATTTCCAGCCTGACCCGTCAAGTAAGCCAGACATTGTTGACACCCGCGTGTCCAAGCTGTAGCAGAGAACAGTATGTTATTGTTGGTAGTTCACTGTGAGAGGGTCTGCCGCGACTGTCATTACAGTTGTGCATAATTAGTAAGAATGCAAGAGACTCTTGGGAAAGTAGCCGATAAACTGTCAGCTGATTATATTATCTACGGGACGATTGATTTGTTGATTAATGAAGATTAAGCCACCCAAGAGGTGGGCATGAATAGCCCGTAAGTGGTAGACTTTTTGTTTAGTAAATGTATACTGTGTGCTGAGGTGTGTACGGGAAGGAATGGTAAAGTTATTTATATGGTGCACCTGACGCTTCAAAAGCACTAATCAATTAGAAAGGGCATTGTTTCGGTCAGCCAATCAGCAAGCTCCAAGTTGGCAATGAGGGGAACTCACTTCAAGGGGAGCACTGCTAGAGAGGGACCGTTTAGGCAGCATCAGTGAGTCAGGTGCCCATGAAGGTCTAGTGAAGAAGCTCTTTAGAGCAACTTGTCTGCCTTAAATAAACAGGAAGAGGACAGAAACCCTTGGAGTGGGAAAGGCATATTTGAAAAACTGTGGAACCTTTCTCTTTGGTCCTGGTCGAAACGAAGAGGACCGAGAAATGATCTGAAATGACAGGTGTAGTGAGTCTCGCGTGTTCTACTACTCTCCAAGGCTGCAACAATAACAATTATTGTAATTACATTCAAGTGCAGTTTCTAGTTGAGATCATTTATTGTGTACCGAACAAATCATAGGAGCGACGGGCAAATTTAGAGGGATTTTGAGGTGAAATCGCGTCAGTTTATTTATTAACATACTAAGGCACATATACATTTAAGCAGCTACCATAGACTATATGAAGAGTTACATAGATTGTGTTATGGGCTAGCTACGTGATGCTAAAAGTCCCCATCACACAGGGACCTGTGATCAGTAGCCTGCACTGACAACCAAGCTATGGCCTGGTTGTTAAACGATTTGGCGGGTCGTGTTTCGGGGAATATTAGGATAAAGGACCTGCCCGAAACGTTACGTGTGCTAGTGTCTGTACAAGAATATAAGAATTCTTGTATATATTTTAAACTCTAGGGGCTTTACGACCATATTTTTAAGAACGAAAAAGTGGATAAAGTAATTGAAAAGCTCCAAATACTTCATATCAGTGGTCTGAAAGGTCTAATAACCTCACACCAGAAGGTCTGTAGTAAGTGTAAGGTGACGGATACGTGCGCCAGAAGATCAGAAGGACGTTACACAATGAGGGTAACAACCTCCCTGTAACGACTACATGAGGGTAACAACCTCCCTGTAACGACTACATGAGGGTAACAACCTCCCTGTAACGACTACAACAAAGGACCTGGGAGTGGATATGACACCAAGCTTAACTCTGGAGGCACATGTATATAGGATGACATCAGTAGAATAGTCAACAGTGGCAAAAGTCGGAACACTGTTCAGGTACATAAATAAGGAGGCATTTAGATCACTTTACAGCGCCTACAGGGGACCAGTCCTAGTGGACCGCCCCATTGTGGGACTCTCATCTTAAAACAACGCGCAAGAAAACTAGAAAAGGTTCATATATTTGCAGAGGCTCGTTCTGCAATTGTGAGGGACTGGGTATGAAGGAAGACTGAAAGAACTAGACATGACATCATTAGAGAAAAAAAAGAGAAAAAGGATACACGAATGAGCCTAAAATACTTGGGGCGACTGGCAAAATGAAAAAAAAAAGGTTCAAAAATGAATACCAGTAGAACGAGAGGGTATGGATGGAAAATCAGGTAAGTCATCGAGATGTTAGAAAGTTTTCTTTTAGCGTTAGTGGGAATGGAATGAGATAAATGAGTAGGTTGTTGAAGTGAACCACTCATAATTTTTACAAGTAGATTTGATAGGAACAAATCCACAAGAGCCGTGACGAGGGTTCGAACCTACGTCCGAGAGGATCCCAGACGCTGCCTTAATCGACTCGTCACGGCCCTTGTGGATTTGTTCATTTGATGCATCACGTTATTATGA